ATTTAAAAGACGTGTAGATGAGGTGCTTAGGGACATGGTTTAGTGGGCATGGTGGTGTTGGGTTGATGGTTGGACTCGATGATCTTAGAGGTCTTTTCCAACCTCAATGATTCTATGATTCTATGATTTCCAATCCCATTCATTTAAATGGAAACTAGATCAGTGAACCAGTAATCTCACTCTTTAAATTTAAAGAAGAAATTGTCATGTGTTAAAATAAAGCGTTAGCACCAGCATTTACATAGTTTACATTATTAAAACAACACAGAACAATGCTACTTGGATTTAATCCCATTTGCAGTACAACCTCCACAGAATGAAGAATAAATATTGACGTTAAAAAGCCTAAGTTATTGTAGAAATACATTTTCAGGAAGATTAGACAAAAATACTACCTTCACCATTTTCAGGTAAATTTCCAATGGATGCGTCTTCCATGACGTTTACGAACAGTCAGCACTAGAGTATGTAATTCCACTTTGACCAGCCAAAGCTCCCAAATCATTATTGCTTCTATCCAGGTACCATAGAAAGACTCTTGCACAGGAGAATCAGTTGACAATCAGCTCACTTACCCTCTAGGCTTTCAGGGTTAAAGTGCTAGGATAGGACAGGGCATCAGTAGAGCCACCGGGATTTGTATCAGTGTCAGGCTAAAAATTAAATACCCAGACGGAATGAAAAGTTGAATGTTGGCACACTTCAGTGCTATTGGAGGAAGACTTTAAAGTGATTGACATTTTTACTCTCTTATGATGACAAATACTGAAAGAACACAAATGATGCACCAGATTTTAGCCAGGTGTTGATAACCACAGAATTATATTGGTTTAACTAAGCTTGATACTTATCCTCAAACATGATTCCTTTGTCCTGAAAGAGTAAATCACTCAGTTTTAATTTTGGCTATTTTATTATAGGTTGAGGTTTCCAAATAAAATATAAACAGATGCTTCTGAAAACAGGCTAAGATGAAAAGCACTTAATCTACAGACAAGAGATTGAAAGAATATAGGTAACTTAAATGAGAGGGGGGGAAAAAAAGGACATACCTTTGAACACTGTTTATGATTCTGGCACCAAGCAAGTGACCCATTGTTCTGAAAGACAAAGAAAAAATACATGAATATTAATATTTCTTTAAGACTAGACAGGATCACCCTAACAGACTTAATCAGAATTCACCTTCCAGTGCTGCTTAGAGAATGATGTTGTGTCACAACCAATCCTGACTCCAACTCCCTTCTGTTGAGTAAAAGGCTCAGGCAAGTGTGAAGTGACCAGAGGAAAGTTAAGAAAGCATTTCATCAAGCAAGGCTGGCGGAAAACTGAAGTCACCTTTTAGTCCATCTTTGTAAACACTTACTATCTAGACTTGCTAGGAAGCAAACAAAGGTAATACTTGTATTTAAGAAATTTATAGGGATCTGTAGTGATTCAGGAACGGAAAGCACATTAACCACATTTCAATATTGCACAATACTTAAATTATCAAGGAAAGATAATGAACAGCCTTGAAGTAAATGGAAAAATCAACTAAATGCAACATGAGTTTATCAAAAGTCACCCATGCCAGTTTTATTTTATATTTTTGATAATAAAGTGCTTTTCCCAGATCAGGAAACACTGTAGCTCTCATTTGTCTTGACTGCAGTAAAATAACCAATACAGTATCACATGCAAAATAATAATTTAAGCTAAAGGAAAAGAGAACATGAAAAGGAAAAAGGAAAAGGAAAAGATAAATATAAATATCTTAAAAGATAAAAGATAAATAAAAAGAAAAAGGAAAAGATAAATACGAAACTCGGGCACAGGCAAACAGCAACCTGCTGTTCTACTAGAGGAGCTTCTGAAGGGTCAACTTTGGAAACAATATTTCTCAGTAACAAAACACAGCTCAGGAAACAGAAGTGCATGTTTGTGGGGTTAACAGATGAGACAAAATATTGATTCACTTTCTGTATAGTGGAAGATCAAAACAACATCAGGAAGATCTAGGTGACTCTGTGGACTGAACACAAGAAATGGGGTAAAACTTTGCAACACATAGTGCATGTTCCTGCACTTAGGGGGAGGGGAAAAAAAAAAAAAAATATATATATATATGTATTTCTTCCATAATTTATAAGCTCATACTCTGGAAACAGAACAGATGAAGATTCTGGTAAACTTGTTGTTCACAATCTGACTACAATGGTGAGTCTATGAGGGAGTAATAGGATGTCCTTTCATATGAATTAGGCAAGGTATTTCCACAGGGATGGATTAATGTGATTGTACTATGCCTTCACCTTTGGCACTGACTACAGACCTGGAAATCAGTCTCCAGGGAAGAGGAATTCAGGAAGGCCAGAATGTAAAGGACTAGAGGACTACACTTTCTTCTTTTTTTTTTTTTAATTGTTTTAATAAGGAGATATTCAAATAATGAAATTATATATATACATAACTTTTTATGTATCAAATCACACAGACAAAGCCAAAATTCTTCTCTGGATGTACAACAACTACAATTAAGAAGCAGAAATAGATACAACAGCATGCACTGTAACTAAGCCAACTAGACCAGTTTCTCAAAACAGCAGTACTCTGTTCTGATCTCAGCAAAGCTTATAAGCTTGAATACAGTGGCTTGCTACCACAGCTGTGAAGCCTATGCTTTCAAGCTGGATCCCTCTTAGCATATGTTTGAGGAGATCATGTTTGTGCATGTCTTCAAACAAGTATGTAGCCACCCCTTCACTCAAGCTCCTAAGATGTGGCCAGTAGGTCAAGGGAAGTGATAGTCCCCCTCTACTCCACTCTTGTGAAACCCCCCCTGGAGTACTGCATCGAGCTCTAGGGTCACCTGTACAAGAAAGTCATGGACCTGTTAGAGCAGGTCCAGAGGAGGGCCGCCAAAGTGATCAGAGGGCTGGAACACCTCTCCTCTGAAGAAAGGCTGAGACAGGTGGGGTTGTTCAGCCTGGAGAAGAGAAGGCTTCAGGGACACTTATTGCAGCCTTTCAATATATGAAGGGGGCTTACAAGAAGGACAGAGAAAAACTTCTTACCAAGGCCTGTAGTGACAGGACAAGGGGCAACAGTTTTAAACTGAAAGAGGATAGATATAGAGTGGACATAGAAGGAAACTGTTTACAATAAGGGTGGTGGACACTGGAACAGGTTGCCCAGAGAAGAAGTGGATGCCCCATTATTGGAAGTGTTCAAAGTCAGGTTGGATGGGGCTTTAAGCAACCTGATTGAGTGAAAGATGTCTCTTCCCAAGGCAGAGGGGTTGGACTAGATGATCTTTAAAGGCCCGTTCCAACCCAAACCATTCTATGATTCTACAATTCTATGACTATAAATATTGTTCAAGTCACACACTCACAGAACAACTGAGGTTGGAAGGGACCTCTGGAGGTCATCTGGTCCAACTGCCCTGCTCAAGCAGGGACACCTACAGTCAGTTGCCCAGGACCAGGTCCAGACAGCTTTTGAGTATCTCCAAGGATGGAG